CCAAGATATTGGACACAAAAGGATGGAACGTGCGCCGCAAAACGTCAGAAGCTATTGGTTGGCAGGAAATAAATCAGTATGACGAACTAGGGCGAGAGGGAAGGAGAGGGTAAGGCAACCCCATAATTTGACATCAGCCGTGTTCCGTCAGTAACTCCGGCTTAATTACATTCCACGATGTTCGCCGCTCATTGTATTCTTGGACGAAGTTATGTTTCCCAGGACAAAGACGAAGACACCTTGAACGTTAAAAGGAATTCCCTGGTAACGCGAGTGATCTGCATCGCGCTCATACAGCGAAAATTAGTTTGATTTCGTATACGCAACCATTCATGCCCACACAATGATACACCAAAGTATTGCAACATTTGCGGTCAACTTCTATGAATCTATCGTGCTGCTTACTCGAAATATTTTGAAACAGTATTAGCATTTCGTTTTACTTTTCTTTTCTACGTCTCTTAGATTCATTGTATTTCACACGTTCGCAATAATTTCGAAATGTGCAAATACTTATGGACGCTAGTGTACCTGTTTCTATGATACCTATTCACCAAACGATCAACAAAAGTTCATCGAGAGAACTTTTTTTTTATCGATAACAAGTCCAATCATTGGTCTGCACGAACTCGGTGTTCCCACGGCGAACAAACTAGAAGGGAACAGAGCTAGCAAGCAAGGTGAACGTGTGCGAGCAAAACCGCTAGAGCTAGAAAAATGGCGCGAGAAGATAGATCGGGCAACGATCTAATTTTATCCGTGGACCGAGAGGGAGGGCACGGTCTCCCACACAGTGAAAAGGGAAAACGAGCTTCTGCAGGGCGGCTTGTGCAAGCCGGGATGAAAAAAGCTGTTCATCGGAGCTTGCGACGACGGGAAACCGAAGCGATCGACGTCATCCGGGGCTTGTCAGCTCCTGGAAGCTTTGATCGCTCGGCCGAATGCCGTTTCTCGTCAAACAGAGACAAAGACATCTCGGCTAGCTGCGCTTGCAACGAAGAAGGACACGTTCTGCCTATTATATTTTACTCGCACGAGCTACGTCGAAAATATATGGACCATCGGTTTACCGGAGATTCAATGAAACGTTTCAGGAATCGTGCCCTGTTTGTTACATGTCGGGCCATTTTGGTTTCTGTACACCGTAGTTTTGGTTCCCTGTCGACCACATTGAACTAGGTTTCAATTAAATAGAGAATAGATATTCTACGAGTAATTTTGCCGATGACTAGATTAGTTCATTAAAAATCAAGCAACGAAAGAACGCGTAAAAGATGCGTTAAATCAGACCTACGATTCTTCAGGGAAAATGCTGTCTAACCTTGAAGAAGTATCGTAGGAATCTTTTATCATTTTCTCTGTGTGTATTCCCCATCTATCTTCAGCGTCGGTGAAGCTTCGAAACGTGGAAAGTAGACACATCCGAGAAGAAGCGAGACGCCGGCGAAAATGTCTGACTAAATTGCTTGTCTTGCGTTCTTCCTCTTTCCTTCCTTCCTTCCTTCCTTCCTTCCTACCTACCTACCTACCTACCTTTCTCGCTAGTAAAAACCTACAGGATGCGACAGATGGCTCTCCGTGACATTGCAACTTTTTTGCAGGAATAAATGATTAAGAACGCAAAGACAGGAGGGGACAAGATTGAGTCGATGAATCGAGAACTTCGTTGCTATTCTTCCACAGTACATTCGCTTGAAAAAATTTCGAATGTTTAATTGGCAGAAGAGATTCGAAGCTGTTCGTATTATAGGATTATATAGTAATTGATGATTGATTTTCAACAACCACTTCAGTCAGCCATCGATGACGAATTCTCTATTTACGTGGCCTAATATTCCACTTTGCGTCGTGGACAACGTTACGAGAGTCCGAGTGTCGAACACGTGTGAATAACAGCCTCCTATTTGTACGTTTATTCGATATCGGTAGTCACTGCAATGCAGACAACGTGTCAAATAAACAGCGAATACCTAATATCGCCAACTATAACCGTAACGAGAGGAGTTGGAATGATCGTTATCGAACTAACCGCGCGATTATTTAAACCGAAGCTTCTCGGACACGAACACCACTGACATAGTTTAAGAACTTGTTCTACTAGATCGGTGTACATTATACATATAGTATAGCTCTAAATATATAGATATATAGATACGTTGTATTATAGCTTTGGATACCTACTAACGTCCGTGGAAAAAGGGGACGATGGCAAAGTTCATTTACTTGTCGACGAAAATCCTTTCGCTTCACTGACTCGTGACTCGTTAATGTACGTGGCGAGAAAAATGAACGTTTCTCGTGGTTTTAATTAAACATTAATCAACTGATATTACATAGTAAAATAATAAACGAAACTTTTAGCGCGTGAAAGCAACATATAATTATTATTTTATTCGTATTTCAACGAGCTGGATTCAAGTACTTAATGTTTCATAAATTTGATATTTTATAAATTTGATAAAATGTGATATTTAAACGGAGATTAATTCTAACAATTTCGTATCGAGAATTTTGAAGTTTCAAAACGTAATATTTCAGAATATAAATTCAGAATATACATTTTTTACAAATACAGGGTGAAGCACCGAAAAACGACATTTTGCAAAAATATAGTTAGTTAATAAATATAGTCAAACTGCGTTACGTTCGTCAGAATCCAACTTTCAAAATTATCCAATGAACTAATCGGTATGTCGATTATGCAGAATGTTACAAAGGAACAAATGCGGACACGATCGAATCGGTATTATGCTACCGTCCGCAAAAGTGTCAACGCTCATTACGTTTTTCGTGCAAGCGGATCGCGTCTTGCATACCTAACACGCAATTAACCAGCGTGTAATTTCACTCTCATATTGTTTGTCTCGCGCGTAAAGTCCAACTGGCTGACCTCTGATAAAGAAGGAATGAAAGAGAAGGAGTAAAAGGATAAAAAAATGCCCGTAATTAGACCCTAGTACGGTTCAAACTGTCGCGACAGATGTCCCCAACTTTCGGAAGCAAAAGTCCGAAAAGCATTAAACACGACTTCTATATATATATATATATATATATATATATAAGTTATAATATATTAAAATATATTACTACAAGTAACTTATATATATATATATATATATAATATATATATATATTACTTAGAAGGAATTTCATTCTCAGCCAATTTTTATTAGAATAAAAGAAGGTCGTCTAGAACAAACGTCTAGAATAAAAAGGAAAGAAACTCTAGAATAAAAAAAAAAAATTCATTCTACTAAACTTCTTTTCTATCTCTACTTCTCTCGCCAATATTTCCGACACCCTGTATCTTCCAGCATGAAACTAAATAAATGATGATTTTAAAAAATATTTTTAAGAAATACATGATTGAATTAAAATTCTGACAATTTTTATTTGCGTCATTATAGTCTTATTCCCTCCCGTATAATGAGCAACAACCAGCGACTGTGTTAAACGAAGATGGTAGATCTGAAGGTGCCGGATCTCGAAGACACTCAGATCGAAGAGGCAGAAGACAGAAAGGAAAGAAGTGGCGACATCAAGAGACCAATAGACCGAGACAAAAGCCGAAGAATATAGAATGGAAAGAGGGAGAGCTCGATGGCTTTTTAGAATTTTTAATAAGCGACATCGGCACGCTTGCGATTCTCCGCAAAAGCGGAAATGTAAATTCAGCGTTTTCGCCAGCTGGAAGGGAAGAACTGACTGGCCTCTTGTAATGCCGACATTAAAATTGCAAACCATGCAACCAGCACAGCCAAGCCTTCGTCTTCGCGAGACTGTGTGTCTCTCTTTAGCCATCTCTTTCACCCTCGCAATTCCCTCTCTTACTTTGGACGGGCATGATTGTCCGCGGAAATCTTCAAGTACCAACGTGGAAACACTGTTCGAGCACCAGTAAATGAAAGCCGACGTTACTCGTGGAAACGCGTCTGCGGATGCGTCATATTAAAGTCTGGTATTGTTCGTTTCGAATGCAGACGACGCTTGGAAAAGTGAGTTAGTAAGAAAAAGAGAGGGTATAGCAGCGAGACAAGGATAGATAGAAACCGAGGGATGATCGGGGATTAGCCGGGATTCGTGATTTCAAATTATTATAGGCCCGCGGCCTGTCCTCTAGAAAACGCGAATTTGCGATTCATAAACTGACGTAATATTCTGCTAATATAAAAATAAACATAAATATCGAGAATCCATGATAATTAATTCTAACATTCATAGACCTAATGAGATTTACATCTTGTTATGCTTCTTTCTAGTTTTGCGTAATTAAAGATAAATGAAATACGATAAAAAGAAATCTACTAATACAATTCGTCATCTTAGTAATATAAATTTAAAGAAGAATAAAGAAGCGATATTGATTAACTCCACAAATTGAAAAGTAAAAAAACGAGTTTCGAATTTTTTAAGTATTCGGAATATATATCATTTTCTTGTGGTAAATGAAATCATGGAAATAGATAATTTGTTTCTTTCAAAAATTCAATACTAATCACGTATTCAAGTAATGAAATGGAGAAACTTATAAAGAGTGGAGTTGAATAGTCCGGTTTCTAAGAGGCTCATACGTATTATGTATACTGCTTGCCTCTAAGAAATTAGGTGTTAGATCTGACGAGAACATTACACGTAAATAATTTCAACATACTACTGCGACCTTTGCAAAAGACGAGTACGCATAAGTAAATAATAAATAATATTTCCACGACCGATCGTGACTAATGGCTGACATAAACAAACAACCGGCAACGCGACGAACACGCGATTCGATAAACGACCGTTATCGACAGTTACTAATAATTTTGCATTTTCGATAGATACGATCTTGTATCGAATGCGAAGATTAACACGTGTAAAAGTAAAACTCTGATCGGAATATATATTCGATATCGAAAACAAGTACATACAATACTGCGGTAATCGGGATGAAGCAAGACTGCGAGTGGCAAGATGAGCATCACGAAACGCACTTTAATTGCAATGAAATGCGAGCTTACCTACGCACATCCGTTGAGAAATAGCCCGATGAGGCCGTCACGTGTTCTGCTCGATTTTTTGACAACACTAAATACCACCGAAAACTGACAGCACTACGCAACAACACACGAAATAAACCAACCGGCCGGCCGCGCACCGACTACGAAAACTCGTTCACATTTGCGCACGATCGCGCCCAACCAACATGAATGCTCGTGGCGCGCTCTATCAGAGAAGTATTATATTTTCCTCATATAATTCAAAAATCGAATCTAACGAACGAATTCTATGCAACATATGATTTTAATTGGCCACAAATTTTATATCTTTAAAATTATTTTAATAATCTTCTTCTAATGAATTCCCAATAAATAAAAAATATATCGACCTTTCAGAAATAAAAAAAGAACTTTTCCATATACACGTCACAAATAAAGGATTAATAACTTTATTTTCAATAAAACATTTCATTATAAGAATCTAGTTTATTCGCCTTAGATCGTGTGAAGATTACTGTAACAACGTAATATAAGGAATTAGTTAAGGAATATTGGCAAGGTAATCCTTGACATTGGAGGGTTCCAATCTTCTGAAACCATTTGCATCACAAATACCAACTTCTATATTATCCGCAGTCATCTGCCCTTCGAATCCTTCTTTCAAAGTTAAAATCGCAGTATGGACAGCATCGTCCAGTTCCAAACTTTTGCTATATCTCTTCTCGAGGAATACTTTTCCATTTACAAAGTTTTTGCCCATTGCTGTAGCCTTCCATGCAAAGAATGCACCAGAAGGATCGCATTGATATAAACATGGCTTCCCATTATCCCAGCCACAAATTAGCAAAGAGACTCCAAAGGGTCTGACTCCTCTATAGTTTTGCAATATATTAGTAGTATTGAATATTCAACAAATTAAAAAATTGTTTAAATGATATTTACCCAGACTGCGTGTATTCTTGCATGAGCGTGGCAACTCTTTGCACCAATTGCGCAGTAGGTATCGGTTCTTGATAAATGAGCTGATACTGCTGTGCAATTTTACGTGCTTGTTTTACTAATAATCTGTAATCTGGACCCATCCCACTGTAGACCATACCAATATGTTTCGTAATCATTTCTACTTTCTGCACGCTGTGTTCATCGTACAATATTGATTTGTGTTTGTTTTCTGTAGCAAGAACAACTCCATTTGATGCCCTGATACCAACACTAGCAGCTCCAGCAGCAACTGCAGCTAAAGCATATTCTATCTGCACCAGTTTTCCAGATGGGCTGTGTAACAAAGTATATTGTGAGATATTTACGTTTTGAAACTTATTCTATATAGATATTTGACGAGTCATTATATACTCCATTGAAATCAATTTGTTTTCAATAAGAGAATAGATTGAGTAATATTAATTTTTATAACCAGCCTTAGATAAATAAAAGTATATGAAAAAATTTGCTTTCTTGTTAATGTATATTCAATAATAAATCCTGTAAACTGATAAATGTATTTCATTTGTAGGTTAGGTTAATGAGAACTTTTACTAATTTATTAAACCATAGGAAGTGGACGATATTAATTATGAAGTTGAATTTATTTGTTGAAGTCAAAGAATTCTTATAAGAAATGACAACATTTACCTGAAAGTCGTTAACGAGAAGCTATATCGTTCCGAAGCCATGACAATTACTTTGCAACAATACAGGTTACTAAATACAGTGAAACTTTCGGTGCAAGGTTTGGCAACATGCATGAACGAAGAACAACTGGGATTTTTATACTAGGGATATTTTGTGTTGCTATATAAATTTGTGGTTATACCTTTAAATCAAAATTTCTGTACATTTTTTTACATCTATCTGCTATTATCTACTTACTATCTATTAAATTCTGCCATTATGAATCAAAATTTTGGAAATCTTGCATTTCCTCGAGACAATCCGTGAAAAATCCTTTTATCGATGCGAAGTATGTGTTTAATTAAAAAAATGATCAAAAAATGATTCTATATAGTAGGATCCAACTTCAAATAAAAGAAAAATGTCAATTTTATGACGATTTTTAACTAAATATTTCGAACGAATACCATCAAAAAATAAGATTTATCGTACTAATAAATTCTTCTACGACTTATATCAATGTATAGTGCAAAATTTTGCACATTGTAGAAAAAATATCTTCGATGCAACCTTGTATCTCTTCTATTGCGTTTATTAAATTAATTTCAGAATATAGTAACACAAATATCTATCATACATACAGAAATGGCCGAAGAAAATAAGAAGGATACCAAAAATCAAGTAGAAGAATTGTACGCATGGATCTCTAAGATTCCACTTTCAAAATCAACAAAGAATTTATCTAGAGACCTTTCGGATGCTGGTAGTTATAGCACGAAACAATTATTCCGAAATTCATTTAGCTTCTTGTAATTAAAATAATAAGGAAACCTGTTCCTTAGTAATAATAGCGGAAATCCTTAAAATGTATTATCCTCGCTATGTTGACCTCCATAATTACGTACCAGCCAACAGTTTAACTACGAAGATAGAAAATTGGAAAGTGTTAAATCGAAAAGTACTAAATAAAATTGATATGAAATTAACTAAAAATGTTATTAATCAGTTAGTAAACTGTCATCCTGGAGCTGCTGAAAATATGTTATTAGAAATAAGAAAGAAAATTATAAAAGATGGAATTGAGCCCCGGAATCTTCAGGACCTACCACAAAATGACTCTATCGAAGAAGGTAATACAAACATTAGATACATATTGATAGGAATTTAATCATAATGTTTCCAAAGTTTATAATACTTTGTTTAGGCAATAATATAAAAGTTATGGCAAAGTTATCAAAGAAATCAATGTCAAGTCCTACTGGTCACCCAATTTTGAAGGCTCTTGATTGTAAGAGATCAATATTTACACGCGCCAAAGAAATGTTCTACTTTATATTGGAATGGCTCATAAGTTGGCTATACACTTGGAATTACTTTCAAAATATAAAGTTTCAATTAGAGAATCAAAATTCGTGTAAGTTGTATGTATACCTACCAAAATTAAAAGATGTTAGTATATAGACGAATTCCTGTGCGAAAGAATTTCCACATATTTTTCTACCTGTTAAAGTGAAAGAAGATGCCGAGGCGTCTAGAACACAAAGAACATCGGAGAATATCAACGAAGAAGACGCTGTTCCTCGTCACGTATACGCGCAATTAAGACGAAAAATCCGGAAGATCGACGATATTATCTGCACTCTAAATCACAAGCTTGCGTACCTTGAGAGCACGATAAAGCTGAAAGACCTGCGAATATCCAACCTAACGTCGGAGATCATAGACAACACTGTGGAATCCAAGCAATTTGCAAAAAACCAAATAAACGATGCACAAACTTCGATCGCATAATGTTCAGAAAAAAGTAAAAATAGAGAAACAGTGCCAATGATACTAAATAAATACAATTACCATAGAACTAATTCGGATACTTGTCGCTTTATTTTTTTTTAAGATGATGTACATTAATTCTCCACGTATGATATAGATATACTAGTTACAATCATAAAATTTTTATGTACTTTTACTTTCACATAACTTCAACGAAACGTTTAGTGATAACTTCTTCGTGTAATAATACTCGTTTCGTATACTCCTAATTGTATATGATCGCTCTAATTCATATTCACTACGTCATAAATATGAATATTTAAATGTTTAAATGCGTGCAAGATTTTTTTACGTTATAATGAATATTAACACAGGCGACACTTTATGCTAACGTTTAAGGGATCATCAGTTTGAAACGATTGATATTGGAGGAAAGTGGCACTTAAATAAAAATAGAAAACACTTTATACTATAATGTTTCACTCGACACAGAGTTTTTATCTTTGAAAATCGTCACACTGATCTGAAAAGACGATAAAACAAAAACGCATGCTATTTGACTACATTCGACATTGTAAAGGCAAAGAGAAACACACTTGACATGGACTAACTACGTGAATGCGTATACATATATATTCAAGACGTTCGGGATTGAAAAATGTAACGAGCTCCTTTTCAAAACGAGGCTACGAGAAACTTGACATTAAGGTTTGTAAAAGCCACTCTCTCATCACTGTTCTCTACGAAGAGAGAGTGGGGTAATGCTTGGTGCAGGGTCACGTATCGCAATGTCAGTACAGAGGCAACACTTCACCAGAAACGGTGACTCTTGAGCCGGTCTGAATGAAAATTTGGTAGCGACTGGTGTGAGTATAATTCAACGTTAAATTAACAGAATTTTTCTGCCGGCTTTTTGTGCTCACTGCTTGACACTTTTAACGCTGTTCTTTTGAAATTCGTCTACCGTTCTCATTCGACTATAATCACATTAATATATTCTATTGTTTCATTTATTGCAAGTAAAATAGCTATCTACGCCTGTAGATGAATACAAATTGTAAAATTAATTACTCCATTTAATAATTTTCATGAAATTATATATAAATTTCATAATTTTGTACAGAATAATTTACATATAATTGGAAAGTATGTAAGTATGAAGAAAATGTTTTATCGCATATACGTGCGTTACCGTAACAAGATATGCACAGGTGCACAAGTTTCATGAAACGAAATTTTAATATTAGGATACTACATTCTAAAAAGAGCAGCTATTTTACACGTTACTTTGTACAACTTATTCTTTCAGGTAGAACGTCATACTGTCAGTGTCTCTAATCGTTCGCGTTCATGGTCGTCAACTTTTTACTAGCTGCATATGTCGCAAAAGAATAAAATTTCCGGTTCTCAAGTATAAACATATGTATATGGGAAGAAAATTTTGTTTTTCATAATTTGTTAAGTCCATCGAGATCTGAAAATTGTATAAAGCCTCCAGATTCTAATTGAATTAACACATGTTTTATATCTATATTGTCTATGTAAATTTTCTTCGCAATATTTTTTCTTCATTACATTTCAATAAATGTTATTATAATATATTGGCAATTTATATACTATCCATTTAGCTCATGTTAGCAAAAATGCTACATTGCACGACGTTGTATCTGGCTGCAGCTGCATTGCTTGCTGTATTTTTGTTCTTTTCGGCGGTCCACTTTTTCATTCAGTACACGTTCGGAGTTTGCAAGAGTAAGAACAGAATGGATGGAAAGACTGTTATAATCACTGGATGTACATCCGGCATTGGAAAAGAAACTGCAAAAGATATCGCGAAAAGAGGAGCGAGATTGATCATGGCCTGTCGAAATATGGAGTCAGCGAACAAATTAAAAGGTTCATCTTAAACCTTACTTTTATCATAATAGAATTAAATCACCATCATTGTTCAAGTTCTATTGCGTTTTAAATAAACAGAAAGTCCTTAGGATTTGTTAAAGATGAGGCAATATAATCAATTACGAATGTATTCCAATTAAGTAAGACGATTATGTTTATACTATAGATAGACATTAAATCTTTGAAATCATTTGTATTGCTAATTGTAACTTGGTTAGCACTTAACTACAAAACTGTAAAAAGCTATTTAGAGGAAAAATGATATATTAATATGATACTAATAGATAATTTTAAGTTGTTAATATAATTATAAGCAGAGACTTCCACAACTGTTGCAACAACCTTTGAAACTAAGTAACTTTTTTAAAATTGGATCAACGACCTGGGTTTTTGAGAAATTAAAAGGATCAGTTTATTAAATGACGTACAAAAAAGATTTTGAAAAATTGTAATTGCTCGCGAAGAAAAAGGTAGAGATTGAATTTTTCAACTTTTTTATCTGGGCTCGTAATGAAAATTTAAATAACACATATTTAACATTCATATCAGTTATATATATGCTAAAAATTTTATCGATATCAGTTTATGTAGAAACAAGCGACAGGTATCGAAATTTTCAGCATGTATACAGCATGTATATGAACATGTATGTTGGAAGTCGCTATATATTTAAAGAACAAAACCTTTTTGTTTTATATATTTTTTATTTCACAATTCAAATTTGTCGTTTCATAGAGGAATTAATAAAGGAATCAGGCAACGAGAACATCGTTGCTCGAGAGTTAAACTTGTCGTCACTGACTTCGGTAAGAGAATTTGCGCAACAAATAAACCGTGAAGAGTCTACGTTGGATGTATTAATTCATAACGCAGGAACTGCAGACCTATTTAAAAAAAAAGTGACGGAAGACGGTCTGGAAATGACTATGGCAACAAATCACTATGGTCCATTCTTACTTACACATCTTTTGATCGGTACGACAATTTCTTTTTTAACGATTTCCTTCTTCATCCTAAGATACTACTTGCAGAATTATTTTGCAGACTTACTAAAACGATCGAAACCAAGTCGAATAATCGTCGTTGCATCGGGACTGTATTACTTAGCGAGATTAAATTTAAACAATGTAAATCCAACGACGACCTTGCCTGGCTATTTGTACTATGTTTCCAAATATGCAAACATCGTTTTTACACTAGAATTAGCACGACGTCTTGAAGGTTCTGGTGTGACAGCCAATTGTCTGCATCCTGGTCTAATAAGCACTGGAATCTGGAAAAGTGTTCCACCTCCATTTTCTTGGGGATTAAATTTTTTACTGAACACATTTTGCAAAACAGCCGAACAGGGCGCGCAAACAACGATACATCTTGCAGTGTCCAGTGAAGTTAGTGGAATTTCTGGCAAATATTTTTCGGATTGTCGTGTAAGCAAAACTTGCCACAATTTTTTGTTTACAAATAGCATTTCTTAAATAACGATGATATTGTTTACTGCTACATATCATTAATTTTAGGAAACCGAACTTCCTCACGGAATAAAGAATCCATCTCAAGGTAAAAAGTTTTGGGAACTCAGCGAAACCATGGTGAAACTCCAATCAACAGATCCAAAAATATAAAAGTTCACATAAACATATCTTGTTAATCTATGTAAAAAATCTATGTAATCTATTTTAAAAGCTGCAAATTTTCTGTAATTAAAAGACTTCTAATTCGTTAAACTTTTTGTATGAATGATTTGTATTTAATTATCCCGCAAAGTGATAATCGAGAAATAGTAATACGTTCCTCATATTTCATTTACACATTCTAATTTGATTTAGAAAAATAATAACCATTGATGTTGCACACGCGTAATATTCTATTGAAAATATAATATAATATAGAATTAGCAATCACAAAAATAGGTTCTTATTTATTTTGTTTAATGTTTCATCGCATTTGAGACCTAGAGTGCAGGGAACAATCTTTCCCATTCTCAGGAAAGAACTCAATTTTGATCGATGGATGAAGATTCAGCTCCAGGAAATTGCCATGCTCAGATACCAATCTACCTCACCTTATAATACATTCCTGATTTGACCATCGTGCTTACGGATCGGTTCGCCATTCATAACAAAATTCGACCATATGCTGGTAGAAATTTCCACCATAGGGATTTCTGGTGCGTCGCTGTTGAAGTATAGGAAGCGGCTCTTTATGAAGAAAAGATACTGCAGATCGTCATGATGACATACACCTGAAGGACACGTAAAACGTTTAAAATATGGCCCTCATTGTGTTTCCAGACAAACGAAGAGTAAACAGTTTTACCAAATGGTATATGGGCGTTCAACATATAAAAGCTATATCGTCCTTGGAAAGCAAGTTTATAAAAGTATACCGGGAATTTCGAATACATATCGAATAACTTGATTACTCGGTACATAGGAAATTTAATTATAGCGTCACCATATATCTGAAAAAGATTTGATATTTTGTTTATGATTTCAATGGAAAACAAATTACAATTAGAGCACGAAGAGAATTTGATACGCACATCACCGAGCTTTCTGTAGCTAGCCGAGCTAAGTGGCTGATCGTTGAAATAGAATTATCGTAATTCCCTACTGATGTAATTCGCTCGCGATGTATTACGATAGTACATAAATATGATCGGAGCGAGAGTATTCCAATTATCGTTCAACTCAGGGTACACAGAAGTACTTTCTAATGTGGCATTTTCATACACTGCGCAATTCAATAAAACAATTGGATATACTCAATTATTTATGCAAAATATCTTAATTCGAATACTCACAAGCAGCTATACCGCTAAATTAGACTTCCGTAACTCCCATCATTAAAGGAACTTGATAGAAACTTCCGTGCTTTATCGCGTCGGACGGCTGTTCAAACAGGAACGTTTACACACTAGGATTTCCACGCCAATCCTGTCAAAAATATAATATCACTAACGTTCCTAGTTGACTAGATTTTTACATGCTGGGTCTATATTGTTATATCAAACGCACATATAAGTCGAGAAACGTGTCCGTGAAGTTTTCTGCAGGTTTTGAGCGGAAACCGTAGCACTAGTCGAATCAATAGGGCAATCAAATAATCGTACCTGTCTTTGAGCTAGCTACAATTGTCCATGTTGCGATATTCCGGAATAAACTATTAGTTTTATAGCCGAAGGACTCATCGCCATTGCTCTGTGAAGCAGTGTTCCAAATTATTGATAGGTAATATATAACTTTCTAATAAAATTTAGTTACTTGTATTATATCCATATTATATTATACATATCTATTTCAGTTAGTCTCCTTTCTTACCCGATCTTGCTCATCTAAATCCATGGAATGCCAAATCTGTTATACAAGGAATAATCAGCACCATGACTTTGACAAAAATAAGAAGAATTACCCTGGTTTAGATATAGTATGTTCAACGTATAATTATATTAAAAATATATTTTCAACAGCATTAATCATAATCTTCTAATAAACATCTTTTTCTTTCAGCTTATTTTCTTCAAATTGATCTCTTTGATATTTCCAACGTCTGATTTCAGACATCCTGTAACTATCACTTGTGCAATATTTATGTCTGAAATACTACTTGGATGTCGTATTAAAAATGAAATAGATATTTTGAAGGATCTTTTTATACTTACTCTTATATTAGATTCGTATATTCTATACAAATATGACGGTAAGAAACAGAAGACTGTCTAGGAAGAAAGGTGAAAGAGAAAAATTGTTGTACAAGAATAAAATAGAAATGAAAGGTGCTATGCGTGAAATACGAAGAGACAGATCTTTCTTAACGAAACTGCAAATAAAACAACAGATTAAGAACGATGAAGAACGTTAAGCGCAAGGTGCAAGAAATCTTTGGCGAAGCTTTAGTGCAACAGAGTGAATTAGAGAAATTAAAACGGAAGAAGTAATAGTAATAGAATAAGCCGCGCATTCCGGAGTCCGTGTATATTACCTCTCTTAGGCAATATTGGTATTTTGAATGATTTTGTGCGATTGTATCAACGATGACTTCGGATATAAAGGACCGTAATCACTATATTAGCGTTTTTTTTTAAGGTTCTTATAATTTCATTAACTGTAATAAATGTAAATAAACAGTTTCATAATAAGTAAATCTTTTAACCGATTTCGTTTGTAAAAACAATACTGTAATTGTATTATACGGAGCTAATTCCTTATGGAAAAATCTAGCAGGAAACACAGAATAAAATTATCACGTGCGAGGCTCAGTTTTCAAGAAAAACGAGTTCGAATATTTGTCGAGTGTACTTGAATTTGGCTAATTACCGAGTGCAATAAACAGTGAGAAGAAGGTTATTCTGCATGCGAAAATGAATAAAAGTGTGATATAAAATTTGTCAATTAGTTTTTCCGCTTAATTTTCAAGAAAATAGAATTTGAGCGCGTTTAATTAAGAATTGTCCTCGTGTACACGTGTGTTAGATTTGCAAATTTATCTTTCTCGAAAGCAAACCGTCTTGTGAATAAATTTCATTCTACATTTCCGATTTATTTTCACATCTAGAATAATCTGATTATTTACTTCTACCTAGTATGGAATTAGCAATGTTCAAAGAAATTTTATATACGTGTTTCTATGACTCATAAGATCTTGACAATTCCGTGAGAATGTCTTGATTTCTGATTCCTAATAGTTCCGAACTGAAGTATACGTATACACGTGAGCATCGGTAACACGTTTAAACTTGAAGAGAATCTTATCGAATAAAATCTTCGACAACATTGTTATTGAATAACGACGCTTTATTTTAATTTGCAATATCACAAACAGACCGTATTCTGATTTTATAGCTTTACGCTCATTGGATAATCTAATACATCTTTCTTTCAATAAGACCGTATTCTGATTTTATAGCTTTACGATCATTGGATAATCTAATACATCTCTCTTTCAATAAGATAGGTTATGAATTCAATATTGTACTTTATATTTATAAATGTACATGATTATAACATTTAAAGAAATACGCTTTATTTAAAAAACGATGTTAATTATGATCCACATATATTTCGCAATAATATATGTTACGTCCTGTGACCCGAACATATATTCTAATGCATCCTTCGGCCAAGATGCTCAACAGCTGTTTCGACATATTTGCACGGACCCACAATAATCCCAAGGAACCGTTAATTGCCACGTTTAAAATTCTCTTTACGACGATCAAGTCTATGGCCGTCGTAAAATCTAGCGTTCTTCACTTTACTGTCGAGGCCCTTCTCAAATTTATAGAATATATTCATCAGGTCGAGAATCTCCTTGTGGTTATTGCTCATCACAGTTCAACATGAGAAAAGCGGACTTCTCACGTATGATACTCGAAGGCCGCTTTTACCTGCGAGCGACAGTTGGTAGAGGGCAGGCAGAACCCATCGCTAGTTTTTCTCCTCGACATTATCGTCATCGTTCCTCACTTCCAATCAACTTTACGGGAATAACACTACAACTTCTCTTCGGTCGCGACATTCACAAACGCTTAATTTAAACGCACATTTAAAAGTTGTTGGAAATAAATAGTGATATTTAAACTGTGAAAATCATTGAAACCACCCCTATTATCTTAACTGAAATAGGTGATCGGTTGATTCGTGGCGTCGATTATCGTATCGAGACGACATCTTGCGACTCTCGTTGACGAGTTACACAGCGAACACGTTTCTCCGGGATAACGGTCGAACAATAAGTTATTACGAAACAATAATTATAATACAAAATTAAAATTTCTTAAAATTAAATTAAAATATTTGGGAGATATATACGTTAAGGGCAGGAAATAAAAATGGTTAAAGCAAAGAAGATGTTATTATCGGAAGTTTCCCAACGAAAACGTAATGAACAAAAGAAGAAATCCTCGAACCTGTTTGAGGTGCATGTAAATAGGAACAAACAAAATGTATTGGGTAGAAAGAGCAAGACAGATGAAAGTCTCCCAGGTGTATCTCGTGCAAAAGCAATTAAGAGGGGAAAAAGAGACGCTTCTTCAAGAGTACAAATTAAAAAACAAGGATAATTTGTTTTTAGATAGGTGCATAGGTGAAAGAAATTCGTGTCTGAACAAAGAAGATAAAGCCTAGGCTAGATCGCAGAACGTAGGAGAGCTTATAAAAAAGAGAATATTTATAATTTGAATGACAACGAAATATTAACGCATAGAGGTTAGACATTAGAGGAAATTGAAAAATTTGATGACCCGAGAAGCGAAGATGACTATAGCGATGATGAAAGTGGAGCCGGCAAACTGGATCATAAGTTTGTTGGTGAAGTTCACTTTGGTGGTGGTATTTTGTCTATATCAAGGTCTGAAGAGTCTAGGAAAGACCTGATACATCAACTTATAGTGGAATCAAAGAAACGCAAAGCCGAGAAGCAGAAAATTAGTGAGGAAGCTGTAAGTTTAATGGAGAAACTTGATTCTGAGTGGAGGGATCTCCTTCCAATTGTTTTAGCAACTAATAAGAATGTTAAAGAAAGAACTACCGAGACAAAGGCTGATGATTATGATATTGCAGTACATAAGTTTGAAGCTAAGGGTACATTGTCAGATAAATTAAGATCTGAAGAAGAGATCGTAAAAGAGGAAAAGGAGAAATTGGAAGCTTTAGAAGCAGATCAGCTGGCAAGAATGAAAGGACTTGTAAATAATATAAGTAATGAGATTAAACACAAATGTTGATGATGGTTTTATGCTAGAAACTATAAATGACCAAGTCCCAGCAGATGAAAAAAATTTAATTAAAGATGCAGAATCAGATTCAAATAATGAAGAGACTATAAATATCCAGGGATATAAACAATTAAATACTACTGCAATGAATGACCTTATTAAGAAAGAAAGGAAGATAGAGAAAAAGAATTCTGTCAAAAAGAAATTAGCTGAAGGTTGTAACGGTGAAATCTCAGGATCTGAAAGTTCTGAAGGAGATAACTTATCGAAAGGAGTCAGAATCTTGTAGCGAAGAAGAAAAGGAGTTAAACAAAAGCAATATGATAAATGGTTCAAAAGGATAATCAAAAACAAATGTTATGAAATTGGATGGTGAGACTAGAGAACAAGAAATTGGGGATGGTCTTTTAAAAATGAATAACGTCATGGGGAATGCAAGGAAGGAATTACTTTACACATATAAAGTTCTAAAAACTTTTGAAGAGTTACAAGAATTTTTGCAAAATTACGACGTTGATTACCAGTCAATTATTGCAAATAGTATAATTAAATATAATCATTGGTCACCAAGTAACACAGATAAAGAAAAGTTATCAAATTTATTTTTGTTTTTGTTACAACACGTAAATGATCATGTTATAGGAAATGATGTTGAAAGTATAGTTAAAGGTCTCCAAATTATTGATAGGTAATATATAACTTTCTAATAAAATTTAGTTACTTGTATTATATCCATATTATATTATATATATTTATTTCAGTTAGTCTCCTTTTTTATTCGATCTTACTCATCTAAATCCATGGAATGCCAAATCTGTTATACAAGGAATAATCAACGAAAAATACCATGACTTTGAGAAAAATAAGAAGAATTACCCTGGTTTAGATATAGTATGTTCAACGTATAATTATATTAAAAATATATTTTCAACAGCATTAATCATAATCTTCTAATAAACATCATTTTCTTTCAGCTTATTTTCTTCAAATTGATCTCTTTGATATTTCCAACGTCTGATTTCAGACATCCTGTAACTATCACTTGTGCAATATTTATGTCTGAAATACTACTTGGATGTCGTATTAAAAATGAAATAGATATTTTGAAGGATCTTTTTATACTTACTCTTATATTAGATTCGTATATTCTATACAAATATGACGGTAAGAAACAGAAGACTGTCTAGGAAGAAAGGTGAAAGAGAAAAATTGTTGTACAAGAATAAAATAGAAATGAAAGGTGCTATGCGTGAAATACGAAGAGACAGATCTTTCTTAACGAAACTGCAAATAAAACAACAGATTAAGAACGATGAAGAACGTTAATCGCTAGGTGCAAGAAATCTTTGGCGAAGCTTCAGTGCAACAGAGTGAATTAGAGAAATTAAAACGGAAGAAGTAATAGTAATAGAATAAGCCGCGCATTCTGGAGTCCGTGTACATTATCTTTTTTAGGCAATATTGGTATTTTGAATGATTTTGTGCGATTGTATCAATGATGATTTCGAATATAAAGGACCGTGATCACTATATTAGCGTTTTTTTAAGATTCTTATAATTTCATTAACTGTAATAAATGTAAATAAGTTTCATAATAAGAAAATCTTTTAACGCATTTCATTTGTGAAAATAATACTGTAATTGTATTATATGAAGGTAATTGCTTATGGAAAAAACTAGTAGGAGGCTTAGTTTTCAAGAAAAATGAGTTCGAATATTTGTCGAGTGTACTTGAATTTGGCTAATTACCGAGTGCAATAAACAGTGAGAAGAAGGTTATTCTGCATGCGAAAATGAATAAAAGTGTGATATAAAATTTGTCAATTAGTTTTTCCACTTAATTTTCAAGAAAATAGAATTTGAGCGCGTTTAATTAAGAATTGTCCTCGTGTACATGTGTGTTAGATTTGCAAATTTGTCTTTTTCGAAAACAAACCGTCTTGTGAATAAATTTTATTCTACATTTCCGATTTATTTTCACATCTAGAATAATCTGATTATTTACTTCTACCTAGTCTGGAATTAGCAATGTTCCAATATACTTAGTAAATTTTCAAACTCGATTTTCGCAAAGACGAAGTGTCATACGAAGATTTTATAATTCCTTCCTATTTTTCATCGCCTTACGTCCGCTGGTACCGTATATACATGTTCTTCTGCCTCACCCTGCATAAACCGATGCAATCTTAAGAATAAAATATATATGAACAATATATATGTAATAAATGGTTTCTAGAGATACATTTCTTACTATTTACTCTGTCCTGTTTATTTAAGATATTATTGTTCTAAAATGATTAAAATGAATCAAATAATCAGCTGGATCGCGAAAGCTTATGAAACTTTTACC